CCCAAGAGTCAACCTCATCAAGTCACTCACTCACTCACTGCGGCTCTGTCTGTTCCAAATCCTGGCCCTCAGGAATCCTGTCACACAGGAATATTCTTCTGCTCCAACCACCGCATCACAGAGATCCTGCATATAAGACCCGGGAACTCCGTCGTCATCTTACGCCTAAACCTTCGTTGCCCTCCACTTCCCTGTCGGACAAGCCACGAGGTTCTCTGCGCTAAACGGATTCGGAACCCAGCCAGTCTTTACACGGACTTATTCCACTTGTTGCTCCTCTCGGTGGTCTACGAACTATCCACGAAGACGCTCGAAACTCACGGCACTACTCGGCACTACGCCCAGATACAGATCTGACCAAAGCACGTGTGCTTCCTTCGTGTCCCCCTCCCCCCCTTTCACCGGCGAATCGCATCTCCGTCGAGGCACCTTCCTGGCTGCTGAGACCCTGGTGCGGCTTCATCGCCCGTGAGCATTCACGCAGGGACCTGCTTGTAATGTTGGACCTCGCACTTGCATGCACCTCCTGGGATACACCCAGCATCGAACCTGACACCCGTTTGACAACTCATAGCCCTACCCACCTCATTCGCTGGCACCTTGTTTACCAAAGCTAAGAACTTCCGGCGACTCGCAAGACACGAACAACGACTCGCCTACCGTGGCTGGTTTACTTCTCCATCAGAAATTCTTCAGACGTCAGGGCATAAGAACGCTTTCGCGCTAGACTCCGCCGCGCTCGTCGTCGCGAACGAGAACACCAGGACAAATATCTCTCTTCATCCCAGCCTCACAACTCTGGTCCGAACTTCCCTTGATTTTTCAGTTTCCCTAATCCCCTTTCCTTGACCACGCACGCGTGTCTCTCGCGCCAACCAATACGGGGCTCATCCCAACCGGAGCCACTTCAACATCCGTGACATCGATATCCTGGTCGAAATCAGTCGTTGATCAGCACCTTTGACGATCTAGCCTCCCCCCTCGCCCACGCTCGCTCATATCTGCCGCAACAAGAACCAAAGGAACTAGCCAGCGCTGCTCGCGTTCTTCGTCTCCCGCCATCATACACCTCGAAGCTGGTATCGCCAGGGTCACACAACCCTTCAGACCCAGCAAATTTTCGAGTGCACTCGACCCGAA